TTGACCGTCGCACCGAGCGGTCTCCTGTAACGTGCTTCTGTGGCTCCTTCATGACCCAAACTCCCCACACAACGACCAGGATGTCCCTTTCCTCGTGTGGCTCATTAGGGCGGGGAGGGGGAGGCAACAGGCAATAGTACTTCTCTTGATGCATCAGACACATCATACATATGGTTCTTTTGCTAATGATTACCCAACGATGCCCACACAACTCGTGTTTCAGAGCTTACAGTGATTAAAAGCATTTTTTCAAGAGAACTGCTTACCCGTCGCCATCGAGGTGGATTTTCGTGTCGCTCCACAGTCGGAGAACCATCCCAATGGTGCAGCTTTTACTACGCGGGAGGAAAGGAAGATGTCCAGGGTTAGAGTCACATTTACCTGTGACCTGCTTACACGCTACCTCCCTGTGTCTTCACCCAGCCCCTGACCTGGCTGGGTCCAGCGCCCGGGTGTGGACCTGGGAGCTGCTCGTAGGCTGTGTGTAGGGACTGCTCACCACTGCTTCTAGAAGACACGGGGCTGCGATGGCCCCACCAGAGGGAGTTGCCAGTGACCTCAGCGTGGAGACAGTCACAGGGTTCTCTGACCCCACGGTTTGATGTGGCTGCAGCTTCACAAGCACCAGGTCTCAGATGCAGCTCTCAGGGGAAGAGGAGCAACCAGCTGGCCACACGACCTCACTGCAGCCGGGGTGAAGCCGCCGACGGCTGGCGCACTCCTGGCGCGAAGCCATGCGCACTCGGGGGGACACAGACGAGTGGAGGCAGCCAACCCAGGCTCCGGTCCTGGGGTGAGGGGGAGGGCAGCGTGCCAACACCATTACCGGAGTTCGGTGCCAGACCTCTGTTTCTCTACCTTTTGTGCGGCTGCTGTTTCAGAACCAGCTTAATCTGCTTTTGTTTTGCCCATCCTAACGGTGAAATGATACTTGAGAGACTGGCGCCGCCGGAGCACGCCGGGTGAACGAAAGGGCTTATCACGGGGGCTCCTCGGATTCTTAGGAACATTCTTCAGGAATCTGAAGGAGTCGGCTGTGAGGAGCCGCTGTGACTGTGCCAAGACCAGCTCCACAACCTCCAAGGATCTCCAGCTTACATCTCTGCTGCCACTCAGCAGCCCGCCCAGGGAGTAATGTGACGAGCGCGCGACTGTGCAGACAGGAGCCCTGGGCTCACAGGGCAGCTCTCCCTCCGAGCATCTGCGACCCTGCCCTTGCCGGATGCTTCCGGCCTTTCGTGTTAGGCCGATTCTCGTCCCACCCTGCAGTCCTCCCCGTCCTCGATGGGCTAATTACA